GTGAATGGCTCAATTTTACCGAGTAGGTTGGATGACACTTCAGTTGTCAAATTTTACGATATGTCGTCCCACTTGCTCTGGGTGATAAAGCTCGCGTTTCTGTTTTTACTTGAATCAATTTGCTGTCTCCACATCGACATGCACCGAGGAAAGAAACAGAGGTGACCCTCTTGCCTACAGTTTATGTTCTGTTCAATGAAACGGTCGACTTTGACACATTTTTCCAAAAGTGGATGGAGCTTTTGTAGTTCCCTCTTCAGCGAACGCACAAATTTGGTTGCCTGCCTTTCACTGAGTCTTCTGGACACTCGATATTCTTTGCAAAACATGCTATTTGTTGGTCATGCTCTTCCCATGATGACTTCTTGATGTTAGTCCTGATTGATAGCGCAAGCTGGTGACTTTACCAAAATCCCACACAATTGACATGGCTCATACTATCTTGTTGTACATAGTCGCCAGAGTTACGATGTCTAGTTTTCGTTTTACGTTCTCCTCACCAGGTCAAACTCCACTAGATCTGGCCACAGCTGACGACGTAAAGTGTCTTCTCGCAGACGCAATGCCCTCCGCTATCGGGGCTCCTGTCTGTTTACCTCTTCCGCCTCTCCAGCATTCACAAGTCTGCCATCTCCAAGCAGCAATGCCCACAGACGGCCCACGCATAGAGGGTCAGGGTAGGGCTGAAGAGGAAGAGCAGCAATTGCAACAGCAACAGCAACCACAGCAGCAAACAGCATCATCGTCGGCGTCCAACGTGTCCACACCACCACTCACTACCACTAGCTTCCTCACTTCCCTTGGTCTTGACCATCTTGTCAAACTATTCGAGAAGGAGCAGGTTAGCGCCTTTTCACCGATATAAGTCCTTTCCTTTTCAACTTCCACCCCCACCAAACGAGTTCTATCCCTCTTAAAGATCACTCTGGACATCTTAGTAGACCTTGGTCATGAAGAATTAAAGGAATTGGGTGTGGTAATCTATGGCCAACGTCACAAAATAATAAAGGGGATTGGGAGATACCGATCGGTGATTGCAGCCTCCACAGCCTCTGCTTCTCCTGCCAACGCCATTTCAACATCGTCAATTGCGTCAATGGAAGATCTCTCCACGCGCATAGTTGGTGGTGGCCACTTCAGAGGTGTTGGGGTGCATGAACCCATACCTCCCGGTTCGGACTTCTTTCCTGCCGCAGCTGCTACAGAAACGGTGTTTGTGGACGTGCCGAGAGACTCAAACGAATTCAGGGATGTGGAAGAACAGGTAGAAGTTATCTCTAGTACTATGACCTGTGAATGTGGATAAGGCAAGTAAGAAACTTTCTATGCTTTTTTTTTATAACAGCTTCAAAGCAGCATTCGGCAGCACAAAGACAACTGTGGTGGTGTGTTCCAGAGCCTACACGTCCTGGAAATTACTCGCATTCGTAACCGTCGGATGTGGGAGCGGTATGTGCATCGGTGTGCTGAGATAGCCGAGGATTGTGGAGGTAGCAACAGCAGCAGCAGCAGCAGCGGCAGCACCAATGGGGGTAAAAGCAGGACTAATGGTGTCGGCCACTATAACGAGCGCTTCCTCTTCCACGGTTCGCCATTCCTCCACTCCATTGTCACTCGTGGGTTTGACGAACGTCACGCCTACATCGGTGGTATGTTTGGCGCGGGCATTTACTTTGCAGAGAACTCCTCCAAGTCCAATCAATACGTCTATGGAATTGGAGGGGGCACAGGCTGTCCTAGCCATCGTTCTCGATCCTGCTACATTTGTCCGCGTCAGATGCTTCTGTGTCGCGTCGCTTTAGGTCGTTCTTTCATCCAATTCAACGCCATGAAGGTGGCTCACGCACCCCCTGGACATCATTCAGTGGTTGGATTGCCCTCAGCAGGCGGCCTGAATTTCGCTGAGTATGTAATTTATCGAGGAGAACAGGCGTATCCGGAGTATAGGATTACATATCTCCTTGTCCCACCCGATGGCACATCCGCAACTGCTAGCGCCAGTGGAAACAATAAGCCTGCTCCTGGTGCACCAGGAAACACTGGTTGATTAGGGAGTTGTGGAGAATTTCTTGTGTAAAATAGTAGTTGCATTCCCTGATTGTTGTCCCAGACTGCACGATACACCTACACATCCACTTCGTCATCAATGATAAATAAATCTTTATCCGAATTTGGTGACCATTACTTTTGTCTTAGAGCAATTAGAAGGAACAATTTATTATCTCTGTAGGGATGTGAATGGAAGCGGAGTAATGGGTGTGAGTCAGAGATTCATTTTCTTGCGCTTCAGATCGTGTTGTAGACGGTCAAGGCGTTTACGCAGGTATCGAACCATCTTGGAGTCCTGCAAAACAAGGGGAGCAACAAGGAGATTTAGCAATGAGGAGACTTCTTCAATGAGCATAAGTGAAATTAAGCCTACCGGGTCCATGGTGTCGAGGTTGTGTATCTTTTTGGAGATCTGTTGAAGGTCCTCATCGGTAGGGACTGGACCGAAGTCGTCCAAGTCCTCGTCCTCATCGTCATCCGGCTAGAAGGGTAAGAAGAAAAGGCTAGTTTCTATCAACGCAATCTGAGAAGGCGGAGGGGCAAAACGGTTTTAACTTTGTGATGCTGCTTTCACCCTATTTCCGAGGATCAAAGCAGTCGAGCACCTTGCGAAATGATTTGAGGATGTGCAAATACTTTCATTGACTATTCAATTCTTCGCCAATTCACCTTTATTGCTGATGCCATAAATCCTCTGTCGCATTTACTCTGCATTGGCAATAAAACTTCTTTTAGGGTCGCTGCCTAGCGAGTGTTCGCAACTAATCCTGGGTAATGAACGGCTAGGAAGGTGAGAACTCATCACATCACCATCCATCATCTCTTGATACTCAACACCCAGTGTATTGGATTTGTCCATCCCCTCAAATGGCAGGACGCAGAAATTCACACGTTTGGAAGTGGTCCAGCTGCCGGTTGGAATTCAATCTCCCATTTTATTTCACGTTTTGTGAATGCAAATTGAGTTTCAACTTCAAAAGAGCCTAAAAATTAGTCACTTACCTCCCATCCACCGTCATTCATGCCATCTGGCGACGTGCTGTGTTTCATGTGCTCCTTGTAGTCGATCAGTCCGTCACCATTACGGTCCATAACCTCCAGCATCTTCCGTCTCATTTGAACTCTGTATTCGTCTTGCCTTTCCGGCTCATCCTCGTCGATTTGTCCAATCTTAAAACCGACGCATCTCTAGAGCATTCTACAGCCGAACACGCATCGCAAAGAAGACCACCAACTGATGGCCTCAAATCACCAAAAAGGAATAAAAAGGCGTAAGGCATAAGGCTAGTATACCTGGGCAGAAAGCATGGCATCCATTTCCTCGGTGTCCCAAACACCATCAGAGTTCAAATCTATAAGGCAGAAGCAATAATCACACGGGAGAGGAAAACATGGGCAGGATTGTTCCAAAAGTCAACTTACCGTGCATTATGAAGAACGCTCGCGGATCAAATTCATCCTCAGGCATATCATCCCCTTTTTGCCACTGTTCCCTTTCTTGAGCGCGACTTCCCTGGTAAAATAAAAGTGAAGTTCACACTCTCTTAGACTGTTAATTCAAGAAATATCCTTATACAAATATGCCTCCAATATCGAATGGATAAGGATTCGTTTACCGGTTCGTGGAAACGTCCGGGTTTGGGATGACTCTTCTTGGCAAGCTCAAAATCATGTTGAGCCTTTTCGCGAACAGCTGCTGTATCGTTTATGTGGGCCTCCCAGCGCTCCAGCACCTTCATCAATTCGACTTCATTGAGGAAAAAAATTTCCTCACGATCAATGGCTTCTTGACGCTCACGTAGCTGCAACATGAGGAGAGTAGAGTTCAGTCTAAACATTTTGAACGATTCAAGATCGTAGTGGAGCAAAAATGCCAATAGATAAGAGCATACCATCTTCAAAATTGCTTCTACATCGGCTCCAGAGAACACCGTTGTATTACCAATATCAAGAGCTTTGGCTATGTCTGAGGGGATCTTGACTTTGCCTCCAGCTTCACTGTCCCGTTTCAATTTTAAAAGATCAACGAAGTAATTTCTTGTTTCGTACTTGATTTGATTCAATTTGTCTCGTACTTCTTTTGAGAGGAGTGAAATATTGACGCTGGAGTCGATCTAAGTATAATGAAGCAAGTAAAGCCAAGGAATGGAGAAGTAAT